AAAGAATCTATGTCACAATCACACACTGTATAAAAATGTTAATTCTCCTCAATAAAGATACACTCAGATGCAATTCTTTTGAGTCTGTGTCTGTTTGTCACTTTGCTGACTCCTTGCCCATCTATCCCATGATCCCTGTCCCATCGGTCCCAGTGCTCCGGCCGAGCTGGTCCGTCGCAGTACTGAGGAAATGAACCCAGGGTTTCATACATGCTAGGCAAGCACTCTACCACTAGGCCACATTCCCAGCCCCTCTTGTTTTATTTTCTAATGACAAGAGAAAACTTGAAGGACACATGCTCTGCTTGGAGAAGTATGGCCTCCTATAAGTGCCCACCTTACACTACCAGAGGACTGACATGGGCTTCGGCAGACATGTCTCCATTGCCCTGGGTGCCAACAGAGCAATGTAGAAAACACCAGCAGACACACTCAGGAGGATGTGGTACCGCAACTCACAGAGCATGAGGGCTTGTACTGGGAACTAGAAAGGTGGGCCGGCCGAGAACAGGGAAGACATGGCACGGCTTGGGAGGCAGGGGGATAGGAAACAAGAATGAAGCCCAGCTGGAGGTGGTGGTGTCAGCTCAAAGGCTTGTCACATGCTAAGAAGCTGGTGCGCCCCTTTGTCCAACCCACCTGGGCTGCTACTGCCACACCTGGTCCCCCCTACTCAGGAGATCAGAACTACTCCTTAAGATCCATGGAGAATAAAACTCCAGTTCATCATCGTTAGTGTGGGATCTTTAATTGATTTAGTATGTTGAGCAGAAAGAGAAGAAAAGAGGAATAAAAAAGAAAAGCAAAAGCAACAGAGAGCAGGGGACAGGTAGAAGGGAACAGAAAAGCAAGGTTGCAGATGAATGTTCTGCTGGGAGGAATGTGGATGTGGAAAACCATGCTAAGGAACTGAAAGGAAAGTTCTAGAAGGAAGCAACCAGGTCTCACAATACAGGCTGTAGAACAGCTTTTCCCTATACTCCCAAGGGCCACAGAGCAAGCAAAGAGTAGCACTCCCAGCCACTGTTGGGGACTCAGCTTATGGCCAGCACAGATGGAAAGCTGCATGTCCCCCCACACATGGGCAACCTGGTCGTGGTGAGGCTGGCAGCTGAAAGCCCAGCCTGGAGGCGTTACCTTCAAAAGCCAGAAAACACTTATGGAGATTCTGGATCATGCAACAGCTGAGTTAGTAGGTGGAGAGTCCTAAATGTTTTGACTGTAGGATTTCTTGGAAAAACAATTTTTTTACAACTGTATGTACAGTTGTACATACAGTACAATACTCATACATACTGTATGTACATGAGGCTTTGTAAATTCTAACTGTACAAACTGCAAACTCTGCATTACTAGGAATTCTAGTCCGGTGCACAGGGAGGAACTGCTGAGTGTAGTTACATATAGAGGATTTGGAGCTCTCTAGAAAATGGATTTATGAGAATTCATTTGCTCAAGACCTGGCTCAGGCCCAGTCACTCACTCATTAATGACTTGTTTCTATCATCACCCTTCCCCAATGGGAAAGAGGAGGTAGGAGTGCGGGGCTGGGGCAGAGCACCTCTGGCTGCAAATAAGGCATTCTGATTCCATGTTCACAGAATGGCTGAGCCTGACACACATGCTTTTAAACTCTGTGGCTCTGTGTCTTGCCAAGTGTGTGTGTATCTTGGGACATAAGCACCTCTACAAACATCATCAGCACCCTGAGTAAACCTGGATGATCAGGTAGGATATGGTGATCCCTCAGAACCAAGATGACAGATCTGTTTTCAAGATGCCCTTCAGGTAGCCCCCGCTGGGCTGATCATAGCTAGGGACACAGATGGGAGGCAGAGGAAGAATCAGCAGCTCAATGTGAGGTAGAGGCTCAAAAGTATAAATGCCCAGGACGCCAGCAGGAATGGCATGTGGTGCCACTACTTGGAAAACCAGTAGGATCTCAGCTGTGTTGGCAAGGGCCCAGGAGAAACCAGTCCCATGCTGGCCAGTCGTCTGCCATGTATCGCTGCATGCATGTCCGTAATTCCGTATACTCATAGGTGCAGGTCCAATGACTCATGACTGTGTTCCTAGCTACTGAGATCTGAGGATCACAGTCTGAAGCCAACCCATTCAGGAAAGTCTGTGAACCTCTTACCTCCAACTAATTACCAAAAAAAGCTGGATGTGAAGCTATAGCTTAAGTGGTACAGTGCTAGCCTTGAACACAGCAGCTCAGGGATAGCACCCAGGCCCCAAGTTCAAGCCCCAGGACTGGCACCCCCCCCTCCAAAAAAAGCAGATGGTTAGGGCAATCTAGTGCTGAGCCAGGAAGGTCTTCTGGGGCCCTACAGGAATGCTGGCCAAGCTGAGTGAGCAGAGCCCTGCTGGAAGATGAGAACAGGGCCAGGGACAGGACTGGCAGTCATTTATATTCAGACAAGGGGCAGATTATTCTGATGTTCTGGAAGGAAACCCCAGTGCTCAGAGGCAGGACATGGAGTGGTCACAGAGCATGGACTGCTCACCAACAAGGCCACCAAGGTTCAGTGGAAGACCTCAGGGTGCAGGAACCTAGGCGTGGTTCCCATTGCCCAGCAAGTCTCTGACCCTGGCTGGCCACCAGTATGACTCACCATCCCCACTGTCTCTCCCCATCCAGCAGGACTCGCTGCTTACCCTTCTTTAAGCAGGATTGGCTGCTCTATGCTCTTAGGGTCCCTTCTTCCCGACGATGAAATCAAATCCAAGAACTGAAATGGAAAAAGGCCAGACTCAGGTGAGAAGCATATAGGTCCCTTTGTTCTGATAGAAACAAGATGCTAATGCCCCTCTCTCTGACACAGTGGAGAGAATGTGGGGATGTAGGGACCTGGGTCCTGTAAGAGCTATAATTTGAAGTCCTCATCTCTACCCAACAGCCCACCCAAGCCCAGTCCTACCAATCTCTATCACCCAGGACCTCCTGAGGTGCTGGCAGTGCCAGACAGGACTTCATAGGGAGCCCAGATTGGCCTCTGCTGGTGCAGCCAAGGCCAGGAGGGGAGGGGACTGATCCCGCCAGCTCTCCAGGGTCACAGCTGTTCCTTTCTTGGGCTCTCTGTCTTGGCCCAGGATTCTCCCACTCTAATCGACTGTCTTGAGACTTCTTTGGATCCTCCTGTCAGTGAAGGGCTACTCTGAACCCCAGTCCCTTCCTTCTCTTCCTTTCAGTGCTTTTTCAGTTTCTGAGAGAAATAGTGGGGACTGCTTCTGATCAGTAGAGAAAAATGAAGCTTGGGGTCACTCTCCCCACGCACAACCCTAATGTAGGGCACAGAGAGGGTGTTTGGGACAACCGAGGGGTACCCAACACACAGCAGGGCTGCTAGGACTGGAGCAGAACACGTGGGCTTAAGGCCGTGGCCACAGAGGACTGAGGAGGAGAAAGCCTCCAGACACCGACTCCAAAAGGAGCCACGTCCTAGGGGCACAAACAGGGCTGGGTTTGAAGCAGGCATCTAGGATCAGAGAAGCTGTCTAACAATACAAACTAGGTGATGAAGTCCTGGGAAAAGTGCACTGACAGTCTCATACTTACATTTTTTACAGCATCAGCATACTTCTGCTCATTGAAGAATTCGTAAAATGTTGCCATATATGACTCCTTAAAACTTGCCTAAAACGAAACAAGTCACTGATGATGGACAACTGGGCCTGAAAGTGCTAGTGGGTATGGGGGAAGACAGACCCAGTTCACAACAAATGAGGAGACCCTAGTTCTTGTGGATAAGCTAGAAGATGCAGGCCCATCCCGGGGCTTAGCCTGAGCCTCTGAACACTGCACACTAAAGGATGCCATTAGAGGTTCAGAATGGACATTTCCTTTGATACAAAGGACCCAACATGTCCCTGTATGTCACCAACATCTGAGCTCCAGGTTTACAGAACCACATACAGCCTACAGATGTTGACTAGGGTCTGGGGCCATGAGCCCAGCCAGGGCTGACACAGAGCCCTTCCCAGGCTGGGAGGGTGGTGCCCCAGGGAATGCCTGGCCTACATACAACACCAACAGAGTTGGACGATAATGAAGAGGAAATGAAGATCCCTTCCTCAGCGTCCCAGCACAGACACTGGAGGCTGCACACAGATGAACTGCTGGTTGCCTTCTGGCACTATGGACATACCCTGGGAGGATCAAGTGCCCCCCTGGCTGTCTGTGGTTAGGAGTTCCTGGAGCAAAGGCAGCTTAGGACACTCCTGAGGAGACATGGCCACCCTCTTCATCCACTGAAAGAAAGTACCCCACCACAGGGAATAGCATGATCTGTGCTCTTCCCAGAGCAGAAGCAGCTGGGAGATGCTCAAAAGACCTGTGTCTGTAGCTGATTGGTTTATCGTTAGACATGTGTTGAATACACACTTCATAGTTTCTGAAGAGATCTATAAAAATCAGTGTTACTAAAAAAGACAATGAGAACAGACTTACTGACTTTGACTTGGACAAGCTTCCGAGAGTCTGGATTGTTTTTGAGATAAGTGTCAGGGTTCTGGATGTTTGTGGATCCTAGAAGATGAGAAAAGAGCAATACTGGACTTGATTCAGTCCTACAGGGATACTATAACCAATTCCAGGGTCACAGGTGACAGGACAAACAACATCATCTAAAGCTGCCATAGTGTGAGCACTCGGACTAAGAGTAAGTAGGATTCTGGAAGGTCCTTGGGGCCAGATCCTACCCGACTGGCCCATCACAGAGAGACTCCAGGATCTGCTCAAAGTGAGCAAATTGCTGCCCAGCTCAGCCTTCCAGATGACACACAAAGGCACAGCTCAAAATGAGAGGCATCTTGCAGGGCCACAGCGGAGACCCTACCCAGGCTATTAGAGAGCTGGGAAATTTAAACTAGAACCAAGGAAAACACAAGTGTGCTATCCTGCATGCATATGCAGATACTCTTACCAAGGGCGATTTCTCTCCAAGGGGGCTCTAGCTGGCACACCTATCTGGGATAAGGTACTCTGTTAGCCTAGCAGAGCTCTAGCCTCACCGGCCTGGCCTGTGGCTGGTGCTAGACAATATTGTTCCATGAATAGACAAATAACCAAAACAGGATGAGCACATTGCTTTTCTCATGTAATCAGCCCCTTAGGCCCTGGTCAAGCCATTCATATAGCCTTTAAAAATAGTATGCTGGGTACTGGTGGCTCACACCTATAATCCTAGCTACTCAGGAGGCTGAGATCTGAGGATCACAGTTCAAAGCCAGCCTGAGCAGGAAAATCCAATAGACTCTTATCTCCAATAAGCTGCTCAGAAAAAGCCAGAAGTGACACTGTGGTTCAAGGGAGTAGAGTGCTAGCATTGAGGGCAAAAAGGCGTAGGCATGGTATCCAGGCCCTGAGTTCAAGCCCCAGGACACATATACACACAAAGTATAGTTTAGTATGGATTAGTACAATAACTTAGCTGAGGGGCTGGGAAGGTGGCTCAGTGGTAGAGCACTTGCCTTGCATGCATGAGGCCCTGGGTTCGATTCCTCAGCACCACATAAACAAAAAGAAAAAAAAAGGCGGAAGTGGCGCTGTGGCTCAAGTGGTATAGCACTAGCCTTGAGCTGAAGAGCTGAGGGACAGCGCCCAGGCCCAGAGTTCAGGCCCCATGACTGGACCCCCCCCCCAAAAAAAAAAAATAACCTAGCTGAAAGAACAGAAAGGCTAATGAACCAAACTGAACAGAGAAGGGCCGTGCTGGCATGTTCAGGACTGGCTGGCCGGGTCACTTACCGTGTGGTGAGGTGTCAGCTGGAAGAGGTTTGGGGACAAAATAGCAGGAGCAAAGAATCTCAGGAAGATGAAGCTACTCACAGCAGTGTACCTCACATCCAGGTCATCTGCAGGTAGATGGAGGATTCATTTCCACTAGGAATTTCAGCGCTAATGTATGGGAGCTCCCAACCTTACCTATGAGGTAAGCTCCTTGGGGCCTCATAGAGAAGTGGGGTTCTGGTTTTGCCTGCCTCCCTCTCCCTTCCTCCCCCCCCATCTGCTTTTCCCTGGTTCTGTTTCTCTATGCATGCCTATATGTCTTCTTATGTCTCACTCTCTGTATATTTTCTTCTATTTCTATGACAGTATTTCTCCATCTCTCTGTCCTCAATTTTTTTTTAAAATTTTATTCTTTAGAGGTACTGAAGTTTAAAGTTGGGCTTTATCTTGCTAGCTGGGTGCTATACTGTTTTATGCTGTTTCTTTGTTGTTGCTGCTGTAGTTTTGGTCCAACACTGAGGCACTGGTACCTGAGCACTGTCCCTGAGCTTTTTTTTTTTTTTATCCAATTGTTTGGTGATTAACTGGAAATGTAGAGTCTCACAGATTTTCCTTCCTGGACTGGCTTCCAACTGTAATCCTCTGATCTCAGCCTCCCAAGTAGGTATGATTACAAGCATGAGCCATCAGCACCCAGCTTGCTCTGGTTAGTTTTAAGAAAGCGTCTCTTCTTACCTAGGCTTTCTTGGTCCACAATTGTCCTATTTTAAGCTTTCCTCCATAACTGGGATGACAGGCACAGATTACCATGCCTGGGTTCTATGCTGAGATTAGGATCTCAAGAACTTTTTGTCCTGGCTGTCCTTAGACCACCTTTTCTACCTCAGTCTCCAGAGGACCTAGAATGTAGGTATGAGCTGTTATCTGCTGACCCTCACTTTATTGTCACCACAGGGCACACTCTCTGGTGGCTTGGGTCACAGAACTCTGGGTCTGTCTAGGGACTCATTATGGAGTGGCCTGGTCTCAGCTGGGTTAAGATGACAGTTTTATCATTTGTTTCCTTCCAGTGTTTCCCTTGGGAACTGCATTCTTGACCCTCTGTACTTGCTGATCCAAGGCTCTGGGGACAGGGCTGTCCTGGGGCTGGCAGGTTCACATCAACCCAGACTGCTAAGCCTGGGAGCAAGGAGCCTGCTCTGGCTGAGAAGTGACTCTAGCCTGAGTGAGTTGATCAAACTTGTGCCCTGATCAGCAGGACGTCTGTACGGGGTGGGATGTCTGCTCAGTGGGATGTCTCTAAGGGGTAGGGGATCCAGGGCTGGGAGGTCTGTGTGTAGTGAGGTCAGGAAATCCCATGAGGTTGGACCCTTGCACCCCTAGGAGCCACAGGAAGCCCTCCTTTCCTAGCCCTCTAAGGTTCGAGTCACTTGGTGAGGGAAAGCTTCCCTTAGAAGGAAAGGTCTGTTAAAATGGCTCATTTTGACAAACATGGCACAGCGTTCGTAACCCTGAAAAAGGAGCTTCAGGGGAACAGGCCCACACCAGGGGACTGATGTTCCTCCCACGAAGCTGGCAACTCTGGAGCAGGGCGGTGCCCTCTGTGGCCTGGCGGCTGCGTGCCAACTCGGGCCCTGGCAAGAGGCTCACCTTGGAAGCGCTTGGCAGCTGCCTCCCTCAAGGAGAAGAAGATGTCACACATGACAGTGGGGCAGCTCACCCCTGACTTGGTGATGACGGTGAAGATGCGGTCCACATACTGCCGAAGGCTCTCCTGTAATGGGTGTATGGTTGGTTTGGAGTCTCCTGAAGGCCACAGCAGTGCCAGCGAGCAGATAACCCTCCGTGACATTTGTTTTTTTTTTTTTGTCAGTCATGGGGCTTGAACTCTGGGCCTAAGCACTGTCCCTCAGCTCTTCAGATCAAGGCAAGCGCTCTACCACTTGAGCTATGGGGCCACTTCGGTTTTCTGGTGGTTTATTGGAGATAAGAGTTTCACAGCCCATGTAATTGTAACTCCTCTGTATGGTAGCCTCGCAATAAAAAAAAAAATAATAAAAAAGAGTTTCACGGACTTTCCTGCCCGGGCTGGCTTTGAACCGCGATCCTCAGATCTCAACCTCCTGAGTAGCTAGGATTACAGGCGTGAGCCACTGACGCATGGCTCCTCCGTGACATTTATAAACAACCTCCCTTTAAAAATGCCCTGTACAGGGCCTGGAAGGTGGCTCAGTGGTAGAATGCTCGCTTTGCATGCACAAGGCTCTGGGTTTGATTCCTCAGTACCTCATACACAGAAAAAGCCAGAAGTGGTGCTGTGGCTCAAGTGGTAGAGTGCTAGCTCAGGGTCAGTGCACAGGCCCTGAGTTCAAGCCCCAGGACTGGCAAAAAAATAACAAATGCATTGAACAACAACTCATAGTGAAATAATCATTGCCTTGTCTAGAGGCATGGGCCCCTCTCCTTGGACAGCACAGAGTGGACTGAAGTCCACGAGGGTGCACCTCTGAGGGTTAGAATCTGCCTGTTTACAAGCACGACCCAAATGGAGTCCGAGCTGCATGAGGGTACCACAGGAAGAGATGAAAATGCTAGCTTTGTGATCCCAGCTCTGAGCAGCCCGAGTGCCTGTGCTTTTCCTGAGAAGGAAGCTGCTGGGCACACTGGCCAGGTCAAACTTTGGGAGGGCAGCAGGAACTGATGGAACTAGGAGGTGAGCGAGGATACAGGCAAGCGTGACAAGTGTGTTCAGGGCTGTGCGCAAGGCCAAGGGTCAGAAAAGCAACTTGGTGCCTAGTAGTCCTCCCCTTCCCCCCGCCCTCACCCCCACCCCAGATCTCAGAACAGCATCCGAGGGGCTGCTGGTGGAAGCCAGCTGGAAATTAGCTTTGAGAAGGGGCCTCACCATGTTGTTCTCAAGATTTTCGCCATCTCGCAACTTGACTGGGTCGATTTCACAGGACCTGTGGCTCTGGCAAATCTGGAAGGTGTGATGGAGATGGCATTGCATACATTGCACACAGCACAGAGCAGAGCCCCAGGGTTCTTGAGAGAGCAGGCTTGTTTAGAAGTGTCTGCCAGCAGACTGTCCAGCCAAGGGCACTGTGTGTGTGTGTGTGTGTGTGTGTGTGTGTGCGCGCAAGGGCACTGTGTGTGTGTGTGTGTGTGTGTGTGTGTCCCAGCTGAGAATCCAGCAGTCTAAGGAAGGCCCTGCCTCACGCAACACAACGCAGCAATGCAGCAAGAGACAGCTGATCACCTCTTTCCAGACAGCTGAGAGGAACCCAAAAATGTGGACAAAAGCCAGGGAGTGCAGCACTGTATCACAGCCAGTGAGCTTAGGACCTTTGGACACACAGAGTATTGAAAAGCGTCCCTGGGAAGATCTGGGTTCTCTTGAATGTCCTTTCATCTTTGGCAGAGTAAGGGATTTTCTTGAGTATTTTTTCCATTTGAGAAAGTTAAGATTTTGGAGCTCATGTAGAATATTCCCTCTATAAATCTAATAAAGGGGAGTCCCCATGGAGGGACCTTTGCCCACTTCCCTTATCTGTCTTACACAGAAACACCAGCCACCACATGGCGATGACAGACTGTCTCACCTCTTCTATGGTGGACTTCAAGGTGACATGTAGGTAGTGCATGCCTGCCAGCTTCATTGTCTCATCTATGCACTTGGATGTCAGTGAGTTTCCTCGGAAGATTGTGTTGGGGTCTCTGGAAAATACCATCAGGGAAAGTATTTATCTCCTAGAGGCACTGAGGGAGCAGAGCCTCCCCCGAGCGTCCATTCATCAGATGGAGACTCGAGCCCTCAATGTCTATTTCCCTGAGTGTCCACTCATCAGATGAGGACTCGAGTCTCCAGTGTGTCTATTTCCCGAGTGTCCACTCATCAGATGAGGACTCGAGTTCCCAGTGTGTCTATTTCCCAAGTGTCCACTCATCAGATGAGGACTCGAGTCTCCAGTGTGTCTATTTCCTTGAGCATCCACTCATCAGATGAGGACTCGAGTCTCCAGTGTGTCTATTTCCTTGAGCATCCACTCATCTGATGAGGACTCGAGTCTCCAGTGCGTCTATTTCCTTGACTGTCCACTCATCAGATGATGACTCCAATCTCTAGTGTGTCTATTTCCCTGAGCATCCACTCATCAGATGCAGACTCGAGTTTCCAGTGTATCTTAAACAGAACCCAAGGTGCAGGACTGTGCTATGAAAATAACCCTGTCCCAACAGTGTACTACTGTGCCATGGGTCACCCCCAAGCTGTCTCTGCCCTCTGCAGGGTGGCTTCTTCACACCCCAGCCTTAAGCAGAAGGAACAGTGTCCCCTTGTGCTGGTCACTGTAGGAGCTCTCACTCCTGACTATTCCTGACCATCAGGCATTAATGTGGAGGAAGCAGCACCCACAATCCATTTGTGCTGTAGAGATGTGGGCTCTGGACACCTGGAGTTCTCTAGAGCTGGCAGGGTCAGTCCCTAAGCCCCAGAGCCTGTTCCCTTTCCCTATTTCTCCTTTGATCTCTGGAGAAATAGTACTTTCTGAAAGAACCCGTATCTGTATCTGTGCAAAGACAGCAGGAATCTACAGAGCCCCCAGAGAGCCCCATCGTTTCTACCGACTCTATACTTGGATGTGGTTTTGGAGGGAAACATGCTACCCTGACAGCCTGCTCCTGAGGTCCAGCTTCCCATTGTGGTAGGGGAACAGCAGGAGGAAAAGGGAGCAGCATGGGGTGGGGGGTGGGGGGCAGAACAGGAACAGAGACACAGGGGGCAGGGCTGTGAAGGATGCGCAGCAGAGACAGGCACAGAGGGAGGGGAGACAGCAGGCAGGTTGGGGTGTAGTCATGAGAGACAGACTCAGTGAGAAGGGGCACCGCGGGTGGGCGTGGGCCCAGCAGGGGAGGGTTGAGGCATACTCACTGGGTCCTCTTCACCTCTGCACTGGCGATGGCGCTGATGAAGGGCACCACCTTGCCATAATGCAGCAGCAGCCGCACCAGGGGGATGGCTGCCTCCTGCTTCTCTCTGCATACCTCACCCAGGATGTGAGCGGCTGAGGCTGAGACAGGCTGGGAAAGGACGGGGTGAGGGTCAGCACCCTGGGCACTGCTCCACTCCCGGGGTGGGAGGGTTTGGGGCAGGGGTGTCCACTGTGAAGGCCAGCACCCTGGGCACTACTCTACTCCGGGGGTGTCCAGTGTAAGTGGGGCACAGCAGGGTTACCTGCCAACCATGCTAAACACTGCACAGTTCTCTGCTTTTTTTTTTTGGTCATGGGTCTTGAACTCTGAGCCTGGGTGCTGTCCTTCAGCTCTTCAGGTCAAGGCTAGCGCTTTACCACTTGAGCCACAGCACCACGTCCAGCCTTTTCTGTTTATGTGGTGCTGAGGAATCAAACCCAGGGCCTCATGTGTGCAAGGCAAACATTCTACCACCAAGCCACCTTCCCAGCCCAGCTCTCTACTAAGACAGGGAAATACGACTTTATGAATGCCTACACCAAGACCTCCAATGTGTACCCTGTCCATCCATGCCTTAGGGTGGGGCTTTTGCTTCCTCCTGTCAACCCCCAAATCCAGCAGTTCTGAGGCACCTGGCAGACAGTCCCATGATGCTGAGCCACAGCCAATCACAATGAGAGGTCTGAGAAGGCCAGGTTCCCATGGCCCTAAACTGCATGGGGCAGGGTGTCCTTGCCCAGCAAAGGGCAGTAAGCTGGGCAGGAAAGGCTCCAGGGAGTATCACCAAAGCATTCAGGGGCCACTAGCAGGTAGACAAGGCCTGGAAAGGTATCAGGAGAGTGAGTGGTACTAGGGTGGATGACTGGATGTGGTCTGACAGGTGAGTGGGCCTGATAGGTGTCTCAGAAGCTAAGTGAGCAGAGCAGGTGGGCCTGGACCCCCATGATACCTCCCCCCACTGTAAATGATGAGTGTGATTTCCACAGACACCTCCACATCTGCAGACTTTAACAGCAGGTCCCGCAGGGGGCTGTAGTAGTCGGAAGAGAAGACGTGGTCCTCGGTATAAACTACATTCAGCCTCAAGGAGCCCAGGTCATCAGGCTTTAGGCTCTTGCTGCCATTGTCCCGTGGCTGGAGGAAATACCTGGCATGGAGGGAAAACAGGGAGAACTGAGAATAACACCCTCCACAGGCATTACAGGGCATCTTCAGAGCAGTGGAGCTCCTGTGCACAGTTACCCTGCCTCATTACTGTCATGTGGAAAGAGGCCAGGACAGCAGGGCCATTCTACAAGACACTCCAAGGTGTGACCACCTTGGCATTCACAGAGCCACAGACTAGGAAGCCAGTTGATGACAGAGGGATAAGAAATAGGTTAAAAAAAAAAAGAGCAAAATGAACCTGGAACCTGCTAGGAAGAAAGATGGGTAAAAGGCTAGGGAAACTCTGCTGTCGATGTGATTAGTTCTGGACCACAGCACCCATCAGTTCAAAAACTGAGCAGCTCTGACAAGTGTGGGGCAGGTTGGCTTGTACAGATGCCCAGTGGTCACTGTATTCTGAGTGGAACTCTTCCCTCCTCCCGCCCAGTCTGGTCATCCCTCTCCACCAGATATTCCTATCCAGGAGGCTGGGGCTGAGCCTCCTCCAAGGCCCTGGACATGGTGCTCTCTGATGATTTTCAGAGACTGTAAGAACTGCCAGAAGATGGATCTAGAGGAAAGCCTGAGGGGGTACCACCCTTGTAAATGGGGAAATGAGTGACACAAAAGTGACACAACAGCACGCTGGGCCATTGACCAGACACTCAGCACCATCCACCTGTACTGTGAAGAAAATGTATGGACTAACCACGAAGTACAATTACATTTCCTCTGCCAGATGCAAAATCTGGAGAAAAATTAAGGTGCAAGTTTCTCCTGCACTCCAGTGGGCCCCAAGGCAGAGAGAGGCTGCACACGAGGCAAGCCTAGGATGCAAGAATGGACAATCCACCCTGCCAGGGACTCAAGAACTAAGGTGAAGACCATCCACAGGGCCTACCCTGATGATAGCCACCCACTGGTTGGGGAGACCCAGCTCTGTCCAATCTTAGTCTGGTGTTTATCACTCTCCTGTGTTTCTCTTAAGGCTCTGAGTGTCATATCCCTTGCTCTCAATGTGCTTGCCTGTCACCTTCCCTTATCTGCTGTTTCTCATGTGCTGCGAGAGCAGAAACTTGATCAATAAGCTCAAATAAGCCCAAACTACCAACCAAGTAGAAGCAGGTGGAGCCAGGTAGGGCCTCAGCCAGTGTAGAAGTGTCGTTCTGTGGCTCAAGACCACCTGCGGATACTCTGTCCCCATCATGTGCACCTACCATGCTTCATAGGAACTAGACTGTCGCAGCACTTTGAGCGGAATCCTTAGCTCCCCTAAAAATTCGTCTCCAAACTTCAGGTTGCTGGCATTCCAGAGGTCAACTCTGAAAAAGATGAGTGTATTCCAGTCAGCCTGATGAAGGAAGGACTTGGACTGTGCCAGCCTCCAGGCTGGCGGGGGGAAGAGGGTGGGTTGTAACAGAGGCCTCCACTTCCAGAAGTCAGTGTCTGTGAGGATCTGCCCCGAGAAAGGGTAGGTCAGGCCATGTCTGGTCATTGGATAGCTGGTAAGAGACAGGGCTCTACATCTGGGTCTGGGGAACGGCAACAGGGACACAAATGGCCTGGCAGTGGAGAAAACTAATTAGCATGCCATGCACAAAGGAGACAATGCTGCCCCCACTCTTGGCTATGGTGGCTTGGGTTCCTTTACCTAAAAGAAGTCAACGGCCCCCACATGGACAGGGATCAGGGATGAACACGGGGGCCCTGGGTGCCTCAGCTCTGCTGTAGCACACAAGCCTGGCTCTTTAGTGTAGACTCAGCATGGAGGATGGGGTAAAACTAAATCTCAGAACCCCAGAAGCTCCCTTGCATGAAGCTGCTGTGTGGCAGGGAAGGCTGCCACACTCGCTATGTTTGACACAAGTAAGAGGACCAGTGGGTTACTGTGATGCCCCTGCCGGGACACTGAGCCCTGCTTCCCCTGGCTCTGGGATTGACCTGCTGGGGTGATCACAATCCTTGGGCATTGCCCATGGGTAGGCCAACTGCAGCTGAGTTCCAAGGAGCCAGACACACCTACTTGGTGGCATCTGCACAGTCCAGCCCTTGCCAGCAGGATAGGGCCATGCATTTGATGCTTTTCCCAAGGGGAATGTCTAGTACTCTCACATGTTGGCCATAGAATTATCTGCATCTGGCAGTGACAGATGCTGTCTGTCAATGGTAGGAAGTGCTGTGCAGGTTCTACCACTCTGGCTGTCAAAGCATCAGTCAGTCTAGAAGCCTCCGATGGCCCTCCTGAGGCTGTCCTTCCTCATCAGAGTGTAACACTCCACTAGGAAGAGAGGCCTATCTGGGGATAGTAATGGCTGCTGCATCTTCTCCTGATCATTTCCATACTGAGGAGCCTGATCATGTGATGGCTAGCACATTCTCTAACAACAGACTAGGGACAGGCCACAAACCAGGCATGGAGAGAGGCCAAGACATAGACGTCCAACATGCTCGCTGATGCTTCCATCCTGTCCTTTCTCCTTTCTCCAGTCCTATTCCTTTCCTTTCCTCTTTCATATCCTCTTCATGGTGAGTGGGAGGCTTAGACCTGAGCCTACCCCATGTCATTGTCCTACAGATCCAGCTTCTGGGATCTAGGATGTCACATAGTAGGGCAGAGTGCAGGGGAAGGCTTAGGAGGATAAGATAGGAAAGACCCACACAGAACCTGCAGCACGGGACGGGACAGGAGCTGTGCTGAGACGTCCAGCCCCCTGGAAGCCTGGCTTCATGGACATAGGAGGAGCTGTGAGGAACAGACCTGCCAGTTCTCAGTAGGAGTCCCCAGGGACAGTACTGGTGGTAAAATGACTTGATGGTTTCAAAACTAATCCTGGATCTTTTATAATGACAACCCCAGGGTACACACTAAGAGTTTCAGGAGACCCCAAACCACCCATGGCTATAATGTGCTAAGGCCACCACTTTGACAGTTTGGGTCGATAAGGATGGAGTCTCACAGATGCCAAATTATAATCTCCTAATGCTTACCTCTTAGATGGTGCAAAGTGAACCATGATGCTACACTGGCCCCAACATTTAAGTGTGCAGGAGTTCATAACACAGAACATTCTATTCTAATTGCTACCAATTCTGGTGCTGAACTAGTCAAGAAAAGGACATTCATCTCTGTCTGTACCTCTACTTTGAGAACAAGACAAAAAAGCAGATAACAAAAGCTGGAGTTCAGATTCAAACTGTCCAGTGGGAAGCATGGGTCCTGACTGCTCACTCACCGAATTTCAAGTTTGTCTACATCTTCCTCTTCAAAGTCAAAATGGGACTTCTTGCTGTAGCTGCAGGGTCTGGTGACCTGGAGTGAGACAAAAGCTGGGTCAAAGGGCCACAGGGAGAGGGTGGGCTACAGGCCCATGGGGGTCTGACAAGTACACCACATCATGGCTCTAGTAATTATCTAGGGCCTTAATCAAGGGAGTTGGGACCACTTCCTTGGCAAGTGAATAGACATGTACCATACAGAAACACGGCCTCTCTCGTGAAACAAACATAGGCAAAAACAGATGGAGGCACCCAGCCAAGGAGAGGCCTGTGTCTCATTGCTTGCTGTGTTCAAACAGCATGGGAGGGAGATCAATGGAAGAGGTAACACTGATCAAGATTCACTGACGCTGGTCAAGATAAACTGATATGCTGAATTAAACCCCTTTGTGCAACTACTTAAAGATGATAAAAATACAAATAAAAGTTAAAAACAAGGATCCTCTGGCCTGAAGCACTCCGTAGTCCACATAGGAAGATGTTGCTGGTTTGATTCACCTTTCCTACTCAAGCATTCTCACATTTTCTGACCATGGGGACTTTCCTGTTTTGGAGATACTTGAGGTTAGAGTGAAGCCCAGCTGCTTCCTGCCTGTTTCTGATCTATGAAACCTTCATTTCTGCTTGACTATTAAGGACTTTCACAGCTGCCCAGGGCACAGCTCCTTCCTGTAGTATCGGTGAGCCTTCTCTGAAGACCTGCCTCCAGACCTATCAGCTGCCTCTCCCTTGACCTGACCCATGATCTCTCCCTTACATATCCAGCTGCCTCTCCCTTGACCTGACCCATGATCTCTCCCTTCCATAGTGCCTGTGGTCACCCACAGGCTAACCACAGGGCCTTCACAGCAGACACACACCTGTACTGCGTCCTTCCCTCTTCAACATGTCAGCATGAGCTGAGGCCTTAAGCCACTGGTGTTTGTGGCTTTCTCTCCCTGTACAGGGCATGTTCTGAGGAGGGGAGCTAAGGTCTTGCCCACATTCCCTCCCAGTGCACATGGTCATTAGGAAGAGCTAAGGCCCAGAAGGAACCTGGCTGCCTGTATCACAAGCTCATGGCTGTGTAACCACAGTCTTCCCCACTGTCTCCAGCCTCACCCGCCTGACTAATGCTGGCTCCACGTTATACCAGGCATCCAGGGGACTTCTGAATTATTTCCCCCTGTGCTCAAACCCTCATTTCCAGTGAAAGGAGCCTCTCCCTGCTCAGGGATGCTGGGGTGAATAGCCAGAAAAACAATCCAAAAACCTCTAGCACAGAGCCCCTGTCTAGTGTTTTGGATGACCCTGGCTCCCCATCTCCCCATGCAGTTGGAGAAGTATCCTTTCTCTCCAAGGAGGAAAACCCGGGGGAACTGGATTCCCGTAGACTCCCACAACGGGGATTGGAGGGGGGGCATGAGTTGGTTCAGATGGAGACTCTGCCCAAGCCTTGGTGCTGTGTTCCAGCATTACCACCCAACAGCACCAACCTCAAAATAAAACACCTCATCAAACTGGGGGTTGTTGGTCTTCTTCTTCACTTTTGTCTTCTTGGCTTCCGACCTTTAGTCAAGAGAGGAAAGGTTAGGGTTAAAAACAACCATCGGCTCCAGAGCTGTTAGAAAATGGAGCTATCTCAGCACAGTGGTTTATTGCCTTATTTATCTTGTAAGTATTCCTGCTTGTTTCCTCCTCCAGACGGTATGCAAATGAGGAAATGTTATGAAGGCCCAGACAACCTAGTGAAGACCAAAATGCTTTGTTTCACAAAGCAATTTTAGAATAATAAAGGAAACAAACAGGAGCTACAAAGCGCATCCCAGCCCAGCCCACATTGTCCACACCCCAAAGGGCTGCCGGCCTCTTGGCTCACAGGGCTCTGAGCTTGGCCTGGAGAATCCTGTGCCTCAGAACAGATGCGAAACCCCACAGGACAGGACGGGAGGGTAACTTGCCTGAAGGGTCCGGCCAGGGTCACTGTGGCATAGGGGTCACACTGCCCATTCACAATGGGCAGTCCTTGGCACTCGAAGATTCTGAGGGATAAAGGAGCATCGTGAGGTGCAGAACACATGGGCTAAGGTAACCCAGCACAAGCCTGAGGAGATGAACAACTAGAAGCAATGGAGAGGGATGGGCCACCACAGGCACGACTCCCCACAACACCCTGGCTGACTGCAGTGATGTAGTAGATACTGCCTCACTATCTACAGCCCCTCATATACACATCTCCTGCGGATTCCCTAACTGCTGCAGTCAGAACCCATGTTGAGGCTCATAGCTGCCCTACATTCTGGAACAGTCCCTCCTGCTACCCGCCATGCTTTCCAGTTCAGATCATGTCCCAGCTGACTCTGCTGGTTTTAGGTCACACTTCCCACTTGTTGGCATGAGGTATGGGCAAATATTGAATACTGTGAACTTTGTTTCCCACTGCCATTTGTTGCTCTCTAGTAAAAATAAAGATGACAGGAGAAGCCTGTCGGCTGGACCACAGGAAAGGTTTCAGCTAAGCATATCAATTCTTGTTTTAAAGGATTTTCTCATACAGGGATAGTTTAGCCCTACTACAAAGCTGTGCCCTGTGCCCTGCATGCCCCGGCTGATAACAAGGCTCTCGCTGTATAGGGGGATCCAAGGGGCCCTTTGGTGTTCCACATCCACTTGAGCTTTCTCCTCTAGAACTTACCCCAATGCTGCAGACCCCCTGAACCCTGGCCAGCCTGCTAAACCTCTTCCTGGCAGGAAGAAGCAGACCTAAGAGGAGTGACGTCACTACCCAGAGGGGCCAGAGCCCTGCCCAGGGAGCCTACATCTGAAACGGTGCGTGCACACGGAATGCTCTTGCCAGTAAGGGTCTAGTGCGGTGACTCCATCACTTGGAAGCAGGAACTTCAACCCTCGAACTGGTGTCCTGAGCTTACCATCATTCCTATCAGCTTCATCCTGTACTGTTCAACTGTTTCCTCTGATCTCTGGAGCAAGTCTGCTTATCTTCCACACTGCCTAAGTATCTTTGATAACTTTCTATCCCTTCATTAATTTATTTACTAGACAATTTCACTTGTCCCCTAACATACCCATTGGAGACATATCTGTCCAGATCTTTCACCTCTAGGCTACACTGGGAAGAAAACAGAGCAGAGCTGGTCAAAGCCAGTTCTGTAAAGTTCATGTCTGCTTGTCTACCATGCTAAATGTGAGACAGTTGTAAACATCACAAGGTTATCCACGTTGCCACACAGAACTGTGCGTAATAAGCACAAGGAAGGAAACAAACTCAACAGCAACATGGTGGCCAACCTCTCAGGGTGGCTGAGACCTCTGAAGGAGAGGAGGTCCAGGGTGAGTCCCTCCCAGTAGGTCAATCTGACACAATGTTTAGTGAGACTCAGCTGGGGGCAAGTCTTGGGCAGTAGGCATGTGTGAATTTGATGTCCTGGGAGGGAGTGGCCTCACATCCCTCGTTATGGACAGCATCACTCAGTTTTCATGTGACCTGTGCAATGCTAGCATCCAGGTGTGTGTGGTTGCTACAGAGAGCCCCAGGCACCGATCTCTTCTCTAGTCCAGTAGATTCTTCTGCAATGGCTGCACAGACATGAGACATCTCAGGGCAGACAGAGAACCTCTGGCAGAGTGCAACTGAATAGCATCTGTGCTGGCCTCCTGCACTTTGGTTGCATGATGCCAGGCAATAGCCTCTGCCTTGTAGCTGTGCAGCCCTCGAAGATGAGCACTTGGGTCACTTGAGATCACAGAGAGCCAAGTTTAATCACTTGAAAACAGGGATAGTCACTTATAACACTACATGAAATAAGTTCCATGAACAGAAAGGCTGACAAATGCACAAACAAGGGAGTAAAAGGTCTACACTATGTTTCTTCTCAAGCAGCAGCTGATGCCCAGGAACTCTGGAACATATCAAGTCACTGAATCTGGACTCTGAAGTACAAATATAACATTTTGTATTTAAAAGTTTTGATATTCAGCCTACACCCCAAGACAAGGTTTTGTTTCCTGGCCAGGTCAAGATCTGCAGCTGCTGTGTGGTTAGGGAGTCCTGAGTAGACTTCCTTCCTTTCCTCTTCCACGAGTCTGTGCTGGTCTTTCCCTGCCTGCCACCAGGACAACCTGCTGGAGCCTCCTGAACCCCTCCTGAACCGGGATCTGGAGCCCAGGGCCAGTAAGCACATGCTGTGTGCAACAATGATACCACCTGATACCTCTCCCATCACTGCCCCTCCCCTTGTCCTGTGAGAGTCTCCAGAGGGTTCAGAAGGGCAGTCACAAAGCCTCAGCACTCATTCTCTTCACAATTGCTAATAGCAGGAAACAAGCATTATTTGGTTGCAAGTCTGAAAAGGGACTTCTTATTTTGTCTCCTCTTCATTTGTACTCAACTCCGGTGCTCTCAGAAGCACTCTGTTCTCTAGCTCAAACCCTAAGACTGCTTTCTCTGGGCCTGGGAGGAGAGCCTGGTGATGGCCAGGGGTTAGCTCTATGACTCAGGATTGCCTCCAAGACTCTCTAGCCTACAGGTCAAGCTTACACTGAAAAGACAGCAGAGCTTGGTCCACAACAAAGTGGATCAGGATGTCATGAGAAAGACCAAGCCAAACGTGATAATAGAAGCTCGTTCTCCAAGTCCTGGTCCAGGCGGGTGGCATGTACACTGCTGTTTCTCACACACAGAATCACTTGATAATGGACTCCTAGGCTTGTAGCAGTGTTTATAAATAAAATCCCTGTTATCATTAGCCTAAGGTTCTTTTGTTAAATTGGAAATAAATATCAGAAATAGGCAAATATAACCTGGATGAGGCTTTACTGGAGTTTATACTTGTATATAGGGAGACAGCACAGGAGACAGTTCTCAGTCAGGCAAAGAAGAAAGCTGTGTAGTCTCAGGTGTTCACTGTCACCACCAAGAATAGTCAAGAGCTGGACATTCTTCATGTTAAAAGAAACAGGTTAAATAAACAGGGGACTGGGGGGAAGGGAAAATGATGGAGGGGGTAACAAGTTTGACAAGAAGTGTACTCACACCTTATATATGTAATTGTAACCCCTCTGAATATCATCTTGACAACAAAATTAAATTAAAAGTAAGTAAATAAACAAGGCCATCCTAGGATAGATAACCTACCTTTTTTTTTTTTTAGAAAGACAGAAACATAATTGAGAAATGAACTTTTCTATGTCCTCTTCTTGTACCTTCATTCAGGCAAGTGGCCAAAGACAGATATGTGCATTGAGCCAAAAAGTGATTGTCACCTGCAAATGACTACCTCATTCAAACCCAAGTCACTGGCTTCTCTGTGTCTGGAAGCCACCACCCTGCAGACTTTCCTGATAATTTTCTCAACTAACATCCAGAGTGATACATCTATGTGCAGGCCCAGTATGAACATTAGCTCCAGGAGGGCTAGCATGTGGTAAGGTTCATTAAGGGGCTGGATTTGCTCAGCCAGGAAAGCAACAATGGTCCTCTTGAGTCTATCCCTTAGTCCCTTCCCCTTGCGTAACCTCATCTTATAGCATAGACTCTGCCCTCTCTCCACTATATGTTTTAATGTTATAAAAGTTGCCTCTAGCTGGGCACTGGTGGCTCATGCCTATAATCTTAGCTACTCAAGAGGCAGGATTGTGGTTCAAAGCAGCCTGGGCAGTAAAATCTATGAGACCCTTATCTCCAATTAATCACCAGAAAAACAGAAGTAGAGCTGTGGCTCAAAGTGTAGAGCACTAGCCTCAAGAAGAAAAGCTGGAACAGGAACAGGAACAGCACCTATGCCCTGAGTTCAAGTCTTAGGACCAACCAAAAAAAAAAAGTTAACTCACTCCTGAGATAATGCCCCAGTTGCTCACACACATTGTGCCTGCTGCAAAGGCCCCAGGCCAGAGTTCTCAGCTTAGCTCATATCTGCATCAGCCAGGCTCTTGTTCTATAAGGACCCCAGCCAATCCAGGGACTAGCACTCACACTGACCGTGTATTCCTGGAGGAATCCTCAGAGTTACCAATGTGAAGTGCCATGGTTGGGGTGCTCAGCAGGTATTTATTAATGAACACATGAGATGCCTGACCTCTGGAACATGCGGTCATTGCTGATCACCTCCTAAAGATCGCATCCTGTCACATCAGCATGTACATGTGTGCACATACACATACACATGTGGAGGGACAGAGCCATTGAGAACTGAAAGATGACAAGGCAGAAGCTCCGAATGGTACAAACAACCTGCCCGGCACATTTGGGGTCACAGCCCAGAGGTCAGGGCCAACCCACATCATGTGCAAAATAGAGTAGAGGCATCAGCACTATCCTGGGGCCCACAGCTCCCACCAGATTATTACAGAGGCCTGCACACAAGGGGGCCAGAGACCTGAAGTGAACTCTCGGAACTAACTTTAGCCAGGTGTAGCACATGACCAGGCATTTCCACCTGCGTGGAAGGCCTAAGTTCCAGCCTCCGGGTCCCTCTTCTCTAACACCTGAAGTAGTACCCACCTCTGCAGAAGTGTGGCATGACTAACTGGGCATCTGTGAGAGTCACACGCTACCCAGGGTAGGACTTACCGTGCTGCAAGCTTATGGCAAACAATGCCTGTGTCAGTGATGACCTCACTCAGCCTCAGCTCCAGATGGACCTTGCCCTGCAAGGCACAATGATAGTCTCATGAGATACGGAACTTGGAAGACTTACCTGGTTTTAAAGGTGTTCAGCATGTCCAGAGCACTAAGCTCCAAACTGGCCTCAAGCACCACGAGGGCCTCCTTCAGGAGACCTGTCATGCCTCACCGGCCTGGCCCGCTTCAGAGGTAGGTACCAACGTGTTCGTGAATGATACTGGATACACTAGTGTCTACTCACAACACCATGGCCAGGCATGTTCACCAATAGCCTCAGCAGGGAAAAGTCTTCTGCAAGGTTTCCTATAACCTGAATTCATGTCCTGCTTGGGAGGTCAGAGGCCTGGGTTCTGTTCCTCAGCCAGGAAGTTGACTACCATAGATGCATCTAGAAGAGCAACAGATGAACACAGCCTCCAAAGTCCTGCTGAGTTCAGATAGCAACTGAGTTCAGAAGGGCAGCAGACAATGAAGGGCTCAGCCTGTAGGTAGGACACAGAGGGGCCTTAGAGTCCATGAGGGACTGGGTACACGAACATATTAAGATATCTGTTACTAGAAAGGGGAGACTGAACTGGAAAAATCTCTTGAGTTCCCTTCCAACTAAAAACCCTAGACCCTCCCACTGCAGGCCTTCAAACGCAGCCTGCATAGGAGAATCAAGGACCTGAGGGAACCACCAGGGAAGAGGCACAGGTTTGTTTATAGTAAATTACGACCAGGTCGAGCAATGACTACAAAGAAAGGAGAAAGGCTGGGCAAATGGCCCACTATCTAGAGACTCCAAACCCATAATGACACTGCAGCAATGCTGGCACTTCTTGGAAGGAGGCTGCCTTCAGAAATATGTTATGACTGAAGGGCGGCAGACCTGGGCTACATCAACCTGACCTTAGGAGAGAGAAAACTGAAGCCCTCAGCCTCTTCAGAAAGTAGATGCCACATCAGGTTTGGTGCTGAACCTGGTATGTGGTACTAGAGCAAGGCCTGTCCAGTTCTGATCTAAATGCACCTCCTCTTTCAGTGTTACCCTAAGGCCACTGTGCCTTTCAGCATCTCCTTCTCTGCCCCATGCAAATTAAAGCCCTAGAAAGCAGAGGAAAAGAATGAGTAAATTGAGACCAGAAGTCAGTGAAACCACAAACAGGAAATCAGAGAAAAATCAAAACCCAAATCAGATTGTCTGATAAGATCAGTGAAAACGATCGGCCCCTTAGCCAGGCAAGAGCAAAACAGAAAAGACTCAGCTTTCTACAGCCCTGGCCCTGAGGCTGGGCCTGGTGAGTCAACAGCCAGCTCCCACACAATACTGAGGGCAAATCTGAGGCAACTGGATAGGATCCCAGGAGTTGCAAACTTGGCTCTGCTCAATTTCCCTAAAAACGTAAAACCCTCAAAAAGTATACCTTATTAATTAAAACGAAAACCCCAGGTGGTCCCTATCTATTTCTCAGAAGATCGTTCACCAATACTACCTGCAGAGCCGAGAACACGCCTCCAAGAGTGCAGCATCCCTGACCCGCCCCAACATGTCTGAGAAGCCACATGGTCAGGGTAGGCCAGAGAGGAGTCTGGATCCAGTAGCAGAGGAGACAAAGTAGAGGAAAAAGAAGACAAGTAGAGGAAAACTGAAGACAAGAATGGCAGGTAGACAGGCAGGCAAGGAGGGAAGAAACCCACCTATAATTCGGCTTCTGAAATCTGAATGCCAGGCCCTTGGTCACAGAACACACACACACACACACACACACACACACACACAC